TAGATAGATAGATAGATAGATAGATAGAGAGAGAGAGAGAGAGAGAGAGAAGTGACGATGGGCAGAGTCCTACCATCTACCGTCACCGGATTGGCTAGATAAATGAGTTTAATTAAGCAGTCGATCAGGTTAAGGACCACATTTTTATGGCCTCCATGAATCACTTGTTACCCACCAGAGTGAATAGCTTGCTGTTTAATTAGTTAACAGAGTTTATTATTCGATCTTTTGTTATAAATCCCCGAATGGAAAAGGAGGGAATGAAAACTACTGTATCTACTTCAAATTCGGTTTCATCTCATGCTTACTTTATCGGTTGATACAGGAGTCAACGTATCCGGACATCATGTAGCCGCGCTGAGCGCCAGCCCCTATCCGCCGATTCTCACGAATGTGCGACTGGCATTCAATGCTTATGATGCTGTGAACTTTAGCCTCATCCGTGGGCCGGCAATCCTACAGAATGTATTGGTACGTAACGCACTTCCCCCCCCCCTTTAGTGATTGCAAAAAGAATAAGAACAGTGATATGTTGGTAGTCAACTTCCGGTTTTTTCTGTTTTATCTCTCACTGACTTTGAGGTATTGTAACTTGAGCAACATTTGAAAGGTCAACGATTCCGGAAGATGTTTATCTTTTTCCTTTCCCTCAAAATTGCTGACTGCGAAAAGGATTTTTTTTATTGAGTAGTTCTTGAGTAGTGCCATTTAATACTGTTTATTATACTGTATATATTTAACAAGTGAGTAACATCTGTGGTCATCCTTGTGCTTATATTGAGCAGCTTAACAGTCACATCGTGAAAGTTTCATCATCATCAACATCATCCGACGGGGATTCGGCGGTTTTCAAGTCAAGTCAAGTCAAGAAGCGGCTTTAATTCTCCCCATAGGGGATGAACATTCAGCTACTACACAATCACTCTTCTTTGGAAATTACATGGTAACAAAACGTATGATGATACGTTACATATACAAAAGCCAATTTAGCAAAGATTTTGTCTAAAAGTCCCAATGACAAGATCAGCGTTGGTAAGAAACCGTGCCAGTACGGTATTATAGAAGACTTGTATGTATTGGTGCGTGCTACTATATGTTTATACTAGATGTGGAGATACATTGACTAAGATGAGGGTACAGTGGGTGAGATGGGTCAAGTAGTATTCTGGTAGAAAGTTTCTGGCATGCCCTAAGGTGTTGTGAAATAATAAACTGCACAACATCCTCAAGGGATATGCCACTGTATCGACATACGTGTTTGATGGATGTGCG